CCAAGCAAAATGCAGTTTGAACCACAGACTCAAAAGGAAAATAATACCATGTTCCAAGGCAATTGTTGTGGACATCGTATCACCAAGGTGCAAATCTGTGTGGTATACAGAAAAGTACTGAAGAAAAACAGCATCATTACATCTCAGGGCTACTCAGATAATTTTCCCTGTTTTTTTTTTTTTTTTTTTTTTTCAGGTTTTTCAAGGAACTGGCTAAGATAAGAAAATTGTTATCTAAATTAAACCAACAGAAGAAATCCTTCCTTCACTAAGATACTGTTAACTTTCATACCCAACTAAAAAGTTAAACCTTCCTTTCACTTTAAGAGTTAAATGCTAAAGTTTCAGGTCTTCTTTAAGATTCTCAACACAAATAATTTCTAATTTCTTAATTGCATCAGTATTTGAGTCAGTATATTTTGTCAGGGCAAAGTTCACTACCAGTGCTAACCGTTCTCACATAATTTTGTTTGTGCTGTCTTTACCAATGCCTAGCAGCAGTAGGACCTTTCAGAAACATGAAATTTAATCAGTTTCAAAATTGGCTCACTTATTCTAGACCTTCAGGAGGAAAACCTTTCTCTAGACACAATCCATTGTCAGTGTCAAGATCAATCGGAATTGCCTACTTTCAAAGATGACTCAGAGTTTTGTCTATTTTTTTATTCCTCAGATATGAAAAATACAAGATTTCTATATAAGTACAGTTTCAAGAACAATTTAAAAATCACTTCGATAGAAGTGAAGCCTCTAGGAATGATGGGACCTTTTCTTAAAATTGTATGCTAAAATGTTTTTTCAAGCATGTGATGCCATTTGCTAAGCTGAAAATGTTACATTTCGTTACTAATATCAATTATAGACGAATAAAGGACAATCTTGCCGATTTAAAAGGAGGAAGTTAGAAATAATTTCCATTGAATAGTATCTTTTGATACGTTTTGCGAGTCTCCATTTAAGTGTTTCTTTCTGTAGTGACCATAATGAAAGCTTAACCTGAACTCAGTGGTCTTCCCAGACACTGTGGACAGAAACGTGTCTGTTCAGCTTTCTAGCAAAGCACTAGAATAGTAAGCAAATCTCAGAGGAATGATGCTCATTCTTCTCAACTACCTTTCACAATGTTTGGAAGAAAACAGGATAACTTTCAGTCTACCTTTTGTAGTTCTTTTACTTGCTAACATCCTCCTTGATTCACCAAATTCATACATACATACATACGGGCATAATCTATATAATTAGATATAATTAGATAAAATATACTGTGCATACTAACTTCAGATTATCTGCATCCCAGATACATTTACTTATATTCTCTCTAGCCGCACGAGTTGAGACAAAATTTTCAGTTGTTTTGACATAGACTTTTTCAGAAATTACCTTTATGGTTATAAATCACCTCTGATTACTTTAATAGGGTCATTTTGAAAGTGAAGATGTCTTTGTAAGTTCATAAATTTTCTTGATAATTTTATGCCTGTGGCTTGTACATTGTAATTCTGACAATTCATGCACACAGCATTATGTCATAAATTACCATATTTATTCTGGCATGAACACTGCCTCTATTATTTAAATACGTAACATATCTGAAACACAGGATTCAACATCCCAAATAAAGGAACACTTAGAAAAAACACAATGCTCAGACAAGGAATGAGGACTGGAATTTTCCTGATGATTTGGGATGCAACTCTAATTGAAAGAGAAAAAACCCTTGCTGCCCAACTCTTTGAAGCATTCTTGAAAGCCCAGTTTAAAAAAAAATTCCCACATCAAGCATTACATTACAATACCTTATGCAGCATTTCTAATGACACAGAAGTGTTTCACTTAATACTTCGCTTGTTATACAACTCTGAAGTAAAACAAACAAACAGTAACTGTGACTTTAAAACTAGCCTGGATGGAGAACTCTCGGTGACAAAATCTATAATGTCTAAGATAAAATCTATATAATGTGAACGATTAATATTTTGTGTCATATTTTGTGGAAAAGCCATTAGGCTTGATTATAAACCAGATGATATGAAAAATATTATGAACATACCACACTGCAACTGAATGTAATTAGTTCTCAGGCTTTTAAACTTGCACACATTTATGTTTTTACATCTGAGTAGGTCCACTGAAATCAATCATATATATCAAATAAAATTAAACCAATTTATACAGATTATACACCAAATCAAATTATGTTAGATTAAACACCAAGTGCCCAGCAAATAAAAAACCTTCTCCGACAAAACTAGCCCATTCGATATAAAGTGACTGCATATTTTCAATATAATAGGCTGCAGCTTAATCATTTCAACCTTTAATTACTGCATCAGATAATGAATATTTTGAACATATGCTTCTCCACTCTGTTAGAAGACGTGAATGAAAGAGAAACAAGTTTATCTGCATGCTGCTGGGTGTGCGGGTTGGGGGAGGGAGTCGCACGCCGCACAGCAAAAGGAACCGGCTGGCAACAACTGGAGGAAATGGTATCTGCACCAGCTGCTCCCTTCAGATTCCCCTAGAAGGAGACTGCCTGAGGTGGGCCACAGCACAAAGGGATAAAGAAGATGAAAACTGATGCAAAGCAGGAAAATAACTGCTGAGACCCCTGAGTCTACACCCGAGCAGTCCCAAGCTGTGTGGCAAGACCTCTTTAGCATGCTACAGAAGCTGGTGATGAACTACATATTACCATGAGGCAAACTGGCTCCTAGCAGTATTGTCTGCATGTTATGTGCAATGATAACCAGCAGTCCTCTGGGAACAGGATGCAATGATTTCATCTCCGTAAGCATCTGAGCTCCCCTTGGATAGAGAGACCATTAAACCGAGAACAGAAGGGTAAATTTTAGGCAATGATTTCTAATTGGAGAGTGAAGACAACTTGTGCTCAACAGTACTGTCAACCACTGATGTTTTACTGCTGTCTATACTAATCACCATTAAGGACAAAAAGAACTAAAATTTTACCCGTTTTTTTAGTCCCGTAACACACGCTGTATTTTCTGAACGAAAGTACTTCGTAGGTTTCTTATGTAATATTATTGGAAATACCATTATATTAGGAAATGCCACTATATTATAACATAACATTATGTTATTTACACTGAAAAGTATTGGTATTTTCATTATTGTTAAAATAATATTTTATACTCTTAACATAACGTATCATACATGTTTTGTACTACAGAGACCTTCTTCCCCTTTTAACAAAAATGCACATTGCTTTCCTTCCCTGTCAGGTTTTTTGTATGACTAAAACCAATAGGCACAACCTATGCATATATTTTAAATTAACAGTAGTACATGACAAAATTCAAGGTTTCAGAATCTTCCTTAAAAAAAATAATAATCCAGCACATGACAAAAAGAAACAGAACTTCTAAATGATTGCTGTAACTTTTTGGCAGGGGGAGCAGTGAAGGAAAAGAGTAGCTATAAAAATGTAACAAAAGGGATCCTGAAGAAACAATGCCAGGACATCTAATATTTTTGACACTTTCAAGGGTAGTTTGATCCTTTATATATCATGGAGATTGTGCAGTCTTTTCATTAATTAATTTCTCCTATGATAGAGAGATCAAATATGCATGGCAGGCTTCTTTATTTAGCACATTTGTTTATGTCGCTGCTCTTCATTTACACAGCTTACTGTGACTCTCAGAAACTTAACAGAGAAGTTGATCAGGTAAGAATGCCGTCACACTTGTCAGTCAAAAAACAATGCAGATAAACTTCAGTACAAAAAATTCTAGTCTAATCTGTCATACTGTATTCTTGGAAGAGATCAAATATCCTCTTCTCATTGCTATTGCAACTATTAGATATAATTTTATAAAATTATGTGTAGCTTTTTCATTTTGAAATAATTTTGCAGAGTTTGACTGCAACTGATGTGAGAACAGACTTCTACTTTTCAGCATTCAGCTGATTTATACAGAAGATGGGCCTATCAGCACTGAAGAATTATGTATAAAGATGGTCAATAACTTTTGGAAAAATTGTATCACAAATCATTAAAAGCGTGTAGAAGAGTATTTCAAGACAGAAATCCAGAACCCCTACTACACTGTAGAAGCCAAGCAAGCAGTTTTGAAACCTGTGCTGAATTCACACTGTGACTTCTATTGGTCTATTTTTGAAAAAAATAAACCACCACAACAAATAACCACAAAGAACGACCACTATAAAACATGTTCATTAATAAAATACCAAGTCACTCTGCAGTTAAAGGAACAAACAGAAACAGAAATAGTGGTTACCCAGCTGATTAATTGCAATAATCATAGACAAAATATTCAAACAAATTAATTTCCCACACAACATTTTTAAGAGGGTCATGGAGGACTGACTTCTCTGATGACTGGGACAGGCAAATCAAGTTGATGCTTACCTTTCCTCTCACACTGATCTATGATGAACTAGAGGAACCCTCCTTCCAAACTAGAATTCCACACATAGAATTCTCATTGTCTTAGAATTATTATGTATGGAAGGCTCAAGGGAAACATGAGGAGGGGATTGCATAAGCACTACAGCTTTTCATATCAAAAGCGATTCATATTTCTTCTAAATTCCTGATGTTCTGAAAAGCTCAACATGTGCGTTGATGTATTTTTAATTGTTGCTCATGAATATGCTGTACCAAACTAGTTTGGAAAACTAGTGTTTTATACAAAAACCTAACTAAATAAAAAATGTTTTATATATTTATGAATACAGGAAAAGGAAAGCTAATCACATATAACCTGAATTGTCAATTTATATTATTTCTACAGATCCAAGCATGGAAGCCTGGACTCCATCAGTACTGGAATTTATTGGCACCATAATTGCTTAATCCATATGGATCCCTGTCTATGGAACTAGATACAGTTATAACAGGTCCATAAGCCAAGCCTCTCCAAGTCTTTTCCACTCTCCAAAATGCCTAAGAAGATGCCAAGGAGGCAGAAAAAAGCATTGGAAAAGCTAAAGCAACTTTAAAACAAACTTACTGATAATGCTGTCTGTTGTTCTCCAGCAAAATGATATGCTAAACTTAAGCAATACGCAGCTTCTCCTTCCATCTTCACGTTGCCTCCTGAAGAAAGGACCAAAGTTACAGTTACCAGTGTAATCTGAACAAAATTACATTAGTACAGACAGTTCTTCCCAGTTCTTAAATAACATACAGATGTTGAAATACTGTAGTAAGTTTTCCCATTTTCTTACCCTTGCCATTTGTCTCTTTGCAAAAATATATAATGGTAATTAAAAATGAGGGCTATGGATTTAGACAAAGTTCAACAAGAAAGTTGAAGTCAGAGAAAGTATCTTCCAGTAAGTAACGCAGCACTATCAATTTAACATGCTGTAATGTTCTGTCATGAATTGTTCAATAATACTCACAGTATCTTCAACTTAGAAAATCATAGTAGCCTCTCTCTCAATGTTCACATATAAAATAAAAGTAGCTACAAATATATAATACACCCTAATATATAAACACAAAATATGTTGACCCATACACTTGGCTAATGTGAATCTTAGTGAAACACCAAGCGAGAACTATCAGTAGACCAGGTTTGTATTTCTTATTCTTCATGGCTATTTTGCAAGCTATTGTAGGCTAGAATTGCTAAAAAAAAGGGATAACTTATACTTTTAAGCAGTAGTCTTCGAAAATTCTGCACAGGCAGTTGCTAACTGAGGTGCATCACACTTCTCCACGCCAGGTTTTATTTCACCGATATTGATCTAACTGCTTGCTGGTCTTTTTATATTGCTCCCCTCAGTAGAAGATTATCCATTCAATATTGAAATTTATATAAATTAATTATAGAAAGGCTTACTGTATCACAATATATTAAAACATTTCCCTCCAGAACATGAGTATCCATTAAAAAAAAATTAGATTAAATTATAATAAAAATAACCCAAAATCCAGTCTTTCTGTTGTGCAATATCCATCTGCTCAACAGATTCCATAATAAAGAGTGGAAAAGTCAACCTAAAGCATAACTGCATATCAAGATATTTTGTAAAACGCATTAAAAAATATAGTTACAATGAAAAGGGAGATTATCTACTTATAATTGTCAGGCTATTAAATTCTTCACATGCAAATGCACAGAAGCCTATATCTAGTTCTGGAACTCTCTGAATGTTATAATTGCTGAGGCCTTAGCAATTCTCTATCTACAGCACTTAACACGTTACATAAAATTATGGAAAGTCTGTAACTCAAAAAACAGCTGGTCTTTTCCAATACTCAATATCCCTTAAAAGGCTTAATGAGGCAAAAGGATACAAAAATACAGTTTCACAGAGGAATAATAAGTGAAAAGTTGCTAGTGATATAAAAAATTTCCTTCCTCACTTAAAAACAGTCTGAGAGTCTGAAGTGGGTAATATCTAATTCTAATACATAAACACAGATGATGGTCCAAAAGTACAGAATGGGTATTACAGGTGGCAGCCAGAGCCAGTATGGGTTTAACTAAATTGTTAAATATGGGCTTCATAGGTAGAAGCTATGGTTCTGGAATGGGGACTGGAGAACTCATCTGAAAGGAACTTGTAAAGCTTAAATTTAAAGAGAACAATGGCAAGCATACTGTGCATAGTGGTATTTAATACATGTCTCAGGAAGTTATGGAAAGTGATCGATTTGAAGTAAGGGCACTGCAACATCTGCCTGGTCAAAGTAAGTTTTGGAGAGGCATCAGATGCATTTTGGCAATCTCTTCATTTCCAGCAGTTTTCACTAGCAATATGAAGAAGGTCGTGAGAAACTTCATCAGCAGTACACACTCACAGTCCTTCTAATTACAACAGTAGATACTGGTAGCAGGATACAGCTGGAGAAGATGTAGAAGTTTTTGGGCAAACGTGTCCTTCTTCAACTGATTAATTGTATTGGCATTCTCAGTATTTGGGTCATAGTCCTAAGAGAAAAGATCTAAACAGGCAACTCAAACAGATCTACTCATGTAAATTGCAGATAAAATAAACAGGTTATTTAGTGGTTGAATGAAAAGAAAACATTAGCCAAATACAATCATATACCCCCACAAATTAAACATTTGGAATGGGAAGAATTGAATTCTTGCACCCAGAGTGCTGCTGGTTTATTCCTCAAAAACTATCACATAAAAGCATTTATATTTCAAATGGTATTTTCAAATATTATTCTTCATGAGACAAGGCAAGATGAGAAATCTTGGTTCTTTAGAATTAATATAATCAAAGACAATATAATAAAAAACCTGAAATAGAAACAATTCACTGGCACTTTTAAAAATAATAAATAGCAAAGTTCACATATGCTTAGATGTCTGAAAGCTTGTTCATTTTTTCCAAGAGTATCTGCTGGTCTAATGAAGATATTTCTTTTGAGGAACTTGCCTTGGCTTCACTGAATACATTTTACACTTTTCTGCAGATTGCCGTGTTATACTGTTTACCAGTATAGTCATATATTCATTTGTGAAAAAACATATTTTAAAATTTGGAAAGTATTTTCCAATTTTTTGCCATTTTTCATAGTTTAAATCTATCATACTACTACTCAAAGACTGGCTAACAGATTAATGTTGGGCATACATTATTAAATTTAAAAAACTACTGTATCTGGTGATAAATATTGAATTAATTTTATATATTAATTGTATGCACAACTCATATGAAAAATATGCCCCTTAAGGAGTATCATGAAAGGCTCCTGAATTGCTGTGCATGGAAAAAGATGACTATTTCAGACCTTTTTTCCTACTTCTGAGAAGCTAGGAAAAGTAAGTCTGTAGAGGTGGACATTTAACAGTATCTTTTGAGAAATCAGCATTACTAAGATTTCTGAAAAATCTGGAAAATTGTATGTATTTTCATAAAGTCAACTTAAAAGATTTTTCTATCCCATCTCATGTGTAAGAAACACTACAGAGCATGGTATTTCTAGCTGATGAACATCTCGCATTATATATAACATTCAAATGCTATTCTAATTTCCCCCAATTTTAAACCTAACATGGACAAAGCTTCATACAACTATTACCTAGAACAAGGTAGTCAGGAGTAGTCAGCATGGATTTAAGACAGGGAAATCATGCTTCACCAACCTGATAAACTTCTAGGATAAGACAACTGTCTTGGAGGATGAAGGGAAAGCAGTGGATATTGCTTCTCTCAATTTTAGCAAGGCTTCTGACACTGTCTCCCATAACATCTTCACACAGAAGTTGATAAAGTGTGGCTTAGACAAACAGACAGTGGGGTAGCCTGAAAACTAGCTGAGTTCTTGGCCTCAAAGGGTTGCAAGCAGCAGCATGAAGTCCAGTGGGAGGTCAGGCACTAGTGGTGTACTCAGGCATCAATACTGGCACCAATACTGATTAACGTCTTCAGAATAGTGTGACCAAGCACACCCTCAGCATGTTTGTGGGCAACACAAAATTGGGCAGGAATGGTTGATCCACCAGGTAGGTGGTTGTGCTGCCATTCAGGGGGACCTCAGCAGGCTGGAGAAATGGACCAATGTGAGTCTCGTGAAGTTCAGGAAAGGGAAATGCAAAGTCCTGCACCTGGGGAGGGAGAAGCCCAGGCACTGGCCCAGGCTGCAGGCTGACAGGATGGAAAGGAACTGGCAGAGAGGCACCTGGGTTTCCTGGTGGACAACAAGTTGCCCATGAGACAGCAACGCACACTCGGGGCAAAGGTGACCAACGGGATCCTGGGCTGCATTAGGCAGGGCATTGCGAGCAGATGGAGGGAAATGATCCTTTGCCTCTACTCAGCACTGGGGAGGTCACCCCAGGAGTGCTGTGTCCCATTCTGGGCTCCCCAGTACAAGAGAGACGTGTAGTGGATTGAGTCCAGTGAAGAGCTGCAAAGATGACTCGGGGACTGGAAGCACCTGTCCTAGGAGGAGAGGCTGAGGGAGCTGGGACTGTTCAGACCACAGAAGAGAAGGCTCAGGGGGCATTTCATCAATGCGTACAAATTTCTGATGGGACAGTGTAAAAAAGAGGGAACCAGGCTCTTCTCAGTGGTGGTCAGTGACAGGACAAGAAGCAATGGTCACAAATTGAAATCCCATCTGAACTCAGTAGAAAATGTTTTCCAGAATGGTTATGGAGTCTCCACCTGTGAAGATACTAATAACTTGCCCGAATGTAGTCCTGGGCAGCCTGCTCTGGCTGGCCCTGATGTTCTCCAGAGGTCTCTCTTCTTACCTTAGCTATTTTGCAGTTCTGTAATTTTTTTTTTACTTTAGGTTTCAAAGTATTTACATGTATTAAGATATACAGAAGAAATCTTGTTTGCTTATGATAGAAACCTGGTTTTTGCAAGTACTAAATAACTATGTAGAGTGAAAAGGTAGTGAACCAGCAGACAATATGACTCAAAAATTGTGAAATAAACAGTGACTAGCCAATCAAAATCAGCGAGCTGAACTTCCATCAGTGACCTCACTTTCTGATTATGGGTTCATTCTTTTATACTATTATTCCTACAAGGTTGCTTTTTTGGAGATAAAGCTTTCAGGAATCCAAAAGAATTTTTGTTGTCAGTAAACAGGCATTTCTGCGTTAGTGAGATTTGGAAGTGTATTCATAGCATTTGTCTTTGAATTTCACAGGAAATAATCACCCAGTCAAACACTTGACAATTTCTACTTTACTCCTGGGAAAATCATGGCATGCACATCAAATAAAGGAATGTGAAAGTGTTATTTTCCACCTACCTTCTTTTGCCATTTTTGAAGCTTTTATTAGCGTTTTGATGGCCTGTTGGTGTTCTTTATTTTCCAGCATTTTGTCTGCTAGTAATGTATAAATCCTCCAGAGATTCTCACATGCCAGTGAATTGTAAGTATGGCCTGTCTCATCCTTCCATGTCGAACCCTCTGTTAGGTGATAAAATGCTTCATAATGCTCAGCAGCTTTCATGACATGACCTGAAAAATGTCATTCATAATTACAATCAGTGTAATCAACAAAATTTTAAAAAGTGATTAGTCTAGTACTAGATAGTAAGTTGCAGCCAAGCATTTCACAGATTTTTCAAGAATCTTCAATATATAACTTACAGATCACTGGAAAACACTGTCAAATCTCACAGTTACCAGTAATGCTGTAATTTAAACTTATCACACTTTAAATTAGCTTTCCTTTGTAGATTTGCAAAGTTGGGGATGTGTGATCCCAAGGATGCATGGTCAGAATTTTCTAGAGAATACATCTATAACAGGTTCATTAATATAGCCTTTGTGGATCTTAAATTTCAGAATCACATCCATGCATAAATAATCACAATTCAAACCATTCCTCAAGTTCATTTTTCCATAATGAAAACTTGTGCTGAAAGATTTGAAATATGGGGAATAGACGTATCAAAACTGTGGGGAAAAAAATATCTTGATTCAAGTAAATTAAGAACTTTTAATTAAAAAAAGAACTATTATGCAAAGTAATTTATTCAACAGTTATTACTAGGCCAACTCTGGTGAATATATGTAGTAAATTTACTGAAAGAGCATTAACCACTCATAGATTAATTATTGAGCCTGAAGTAATACAATTTAAGGACTTAAAATGTGAGTTACTCAAACATCTTTAAGGCAAAGAAAAGTTTGAAGGTAAGGTTCAATTCATTTTACAATGCAAGTAGTCCCTCCCTTTACCTTCAGCTAGATTCATCTCTGTGTATACATGCAATCTAGGAGACTTCCATGCCTTCTGGACAATGGAAATTCAAAGCCCCTTGAAAGAACAGAAAAGCTTTTCCTTATACATAATGGGTACAGAAAGATTGCTGAGAAGCAGGTAAGATGAGACCATTTACATTAAAAAAAAAAGTACTCTAGTCATGGTACCTTGTTTCACAAAGAAAGTTCTATAGCAAGGGAGAACTGTGAATGTGACCCTTCCTTTAGAAGTTTGTGTGTGTCTGTGATGGAGGAATCTTGTCCCATAGATCATCAATATATCAATTGCCATTTCTGTTAAAAGCTGAAACAAACCATAAACTCAGTTTGTCTAGATGTGTTTCCAGTTTACACCTCTTCTGAAACATGATTTGTAAGGAAGGATTAGTGTTTTGCAGACCGTTTTTACAGGACTGCATCCAAATTACAAAAAGAATCAGGAAGGAGAAGAGTTGTTTCCCAGTTGCAGGAAAGGAATGGAGAGAAGCTTGGGGAAGGACCTTCTTCAAGCATTCTGAGAGAAAACCAAGGCTAGTTCCCCAAGCCTCCAGCCAACCTAGAGGCAGCAAAACAGCTATGACAGATACCTCTTATTAACTTAATTTAGATTTGTCTTTTGCATATGTTACCCTTCTATAACCATGCTTTGAACTTTGCAATATAAAACATAACCCTTACCTTTATTAGAATTAAATTTATTTTTATATTAAGCTTCTCTGATGATTAAAGTAAGTTCAAGTAAAATTGACAAGCACAAGAAACTTCTCTTTCAGAGAGGCAACTAATTAAATGAGTTTCAGAGACAAATCATTTTAAGGCTCTACAACCTATGATTCATGTAAGAGCCTCAGAGGACACAACAAAAAGTGCTGAAGAGTGAAGTGCCAGGTGAAAGGGGAGACAGCAAGCTCTATTCAGTTCCGCTCTAGCTAGAGACAGGTATTGGAGAGAAATGCTGGAAAAAATCTTATTGCCACAGTAGCTATCAGACCCGGTAAACAGGCAGGAAAAGATCTATACATTCTTTCAAAAATACCACATACTTTACATCAGACTGAACGAACAGAAGTGCGAAGCGAAATTATCATGACCAGTACAAGCTGCTTCAGGAATGATCGACAGTACAGGTTACAGGAAATTGAGATGTAAACTTACTAAACCCAGATGAAAACTTTTGTCCATTCTAAAGAGGCTTCCAATTCAAATTTGGGTTTCTGCTTATCTAGCCCAGCTAACTTCTTAGGGCAAGTCCAGCTCAGAAGTCAACAGATTTCCAGTTATCCAAGTTGCTAAATGCAGATTTAAGATATTAATTGAAGAAGCTGGTTGTTGGCTTTGTGACAAATTAGGGAAGGTTGAGTTGAAATTTAACATTAATAGCTAGATCTAGTATTTTATCCACTTGGATAGTCATAAGCACATACAGACTCCTCCTTGGAATTCTCCCCAAAGTTTATTAATCAACTGAATATCCTTTTGAAAGGATTTACCATACATTTAAGTGATCTAGTTTCACTACATGTGTAATGGATTCTTTAGGATAACAGACTTCGATTCACATGTAACTCAAAAACTTCTAGTAAGAATGAGAAGCAGCAAACAAATGAATGATATCACCTGGATATGTAATTTGAAATTGAACACAGTATTTGAGTTTCTCCTAAGACTCTATATTATAATTTCTTAACAGGACACATAATTTAGGTAAAGAATACGTGCAACCTTCAGAACTATTGTTTAAATTGTTAGAACTATCAGGTATGGTAATTCTTATCCATGCTTCCTCACTTGCTGTATCCCCTTGAGAAAGTTTCTGTCAGACTAGAAATTGAACTCATATATTCCATGTAGCCCATAGTTCTTAAGAGTTGACCTAAGCATAAGAGCTGTGACCTAACATCCTTTCTGCCAGATCTCAGTGAAACCTCTTTAGAAACAATCCATCTCCATCAAGCTTCAAAATACGCAACCAATATAATCTTTTTGATAGTATTCAAATGGAACTAAATTGCATTTGGCTTCACTGAACTACCAAGAAAGATTATGAAGTTAAAAGTAATACAATCTGCTCACAGAAATACCAAAAAGACGATTGCTGGGGGGGGGAATCTAGTTTCTTAAACGAGGGAGAGGTGGAATTCCTCACCTGAAAGACCTTAACATGGCTGGGAATTTGCTTACTGAAGACTGTTTCAAGTAATAGTAGCTATTTGGAGACCTCTCAAAGTCATGGAAGGGAAAACATTTTAGACTTTGGAATTCATTCCTCTATCAAAATAATCTGAAATCCCTGGTTCTCATTGGCAAATGACATATCAGCCTATTTCTTGAGCCCATAATGTATGTGAACCTCAAATGTCATGGAAAAATAATGTTTTCAGGGGGTGGCAAGTTTATTCACTGTCATGAGTCCATTCAGTTGGAATTGATCTGGCCAGTGCATTTCAAATTTTAAACACTGAACTACTGCAACTGATAGGTGCAGACAGTGGTAGATGCTGTCTGAAAATCATTAAAAGAAAGTAAAACGCCAATTATGGAACATTTCTGAGAGTAAGAGTATTTTTATCTCACCTGAGCAGTAACAAGGCAGCGTTTTAAATTACTTTTATTATCAACTGAAAGAAGCAAAAGGCAAAACGAGAGAAAAAAAATGAGGAAGTGAGTAGGAAAATAACTTGGAATAGTTTGTAGAAATGTATATTTTATATCTCTAAGAATTCAAAAAGAAAATACAGAAGATGTTCCTAGGACATTTATGTTTGAAAACATCTATTTGCAAAATATTACACAAAGCAGTATAGCTATTTTCAGTCGGCAACATTAACAGCAATTGCATATTTCTTGTCCCACTGCCATGCAGAAATTAGCTGTGTATACTAAATGGAATTTGAGAATCTCTGATTTCTCTTCGCTGTTTATAGAAGGAATCAAACCCCAGAAACATAACTCTTACAACATATATAATACGACTACTAAAATGTTATAGTTTTAAGTAGCTTGGGGCAAAAGAAACAAAAGAAACCCTATCAGCAACAGTTTAATCTGAAATATGGGAGGTAAACATTGTCATAATATAATTTTGGGAGTAAAGTATCTGTTTCAAACAATTATATGAATATAAGACATTACGTTGCCACTCAGAGTACCAAATTTTAGAAATTACTCTTATTTTCACAGCAACTACATATATATGTGCAAAGATTTGTGCTACAGCTTTCATTGAGTTGCTTAGAAGTCAAAAAAATAAATCTATTCGTTCAAGCAAAAGAACTCAATGTAATTTTGTAAATACGGAAGAGAAACGTTTTTACATTATCTAAAACTTCCTTTATAATTCTCCTTCTAAGAACCTACTCCAAAAGTATGTATTTGTTATATCAAAATAGATATCAAACCAAAAGAGGTATATATGGAGACTACTATTTTGCTTTTTTTTTTTTTAAGTAGAAAGATTGACTAGATATTAACACAAATGGGTTTAAATGTGGAGCTGCCATAAAAGCAGGCACATAAATGTAATTCTCCCAGCCGCTATTTTGATGCACATTTTTGATTCCATGAATATTTTATGAAATGGCCCAAACTAAAGCCATATAACATTCCTGCATTACTGATGCTTGCGCCCGTAAGCTACAAACATTAGAGGCATGATTGAGTGCATTAAAATGAACTCATTCAGCAGTGCATTGATTACTTGAAGGAAAAAAAAAAAAAAAGAAGTTACTCCCACTTAAGAAAACAGCATACAAATCTGAAGTTTTCCATACTGAAATTAAAGATAGCAAATTTGAATAATGTATTTAATAAAGGCAGTGCAAAACTATCTAGAATTTTCCATATACAGTCCTGACATTAATTAGGTGAGATGTTAATTAGGTCCACAGATTGCTTCTAGTAGTGTACAGGTAATTTAAAATGTCACAATCTGCAAAATGCAGTGACTGACCTGTTCTCGCTCCATGCCTTAGCAATACTGAGAGCACCTAATGATTTCCTTTTCTATCAGCTTCATACATTTACCAATGAAAATAATGCCACAGAAACAATTCCACAAAAAAGTGACAGGTTTGTTAGGTACAGCAGCACTAGTATAAGCAGAAAGCAAATTTAATTCTAAATTGTCAACAGTTGTTGAGGACTTTAGAAAATATTACTTAAGCTTAAAACAACCACCTAAAGGAACAATAAAGCTTTATGTATATTATAGTACATTTTAATCTAGAACTAGGAGATCTTTCGTAATCAGT